AGCATCTTAGCTGTGGAGGGCAGTGTCACTGGCCCTCATATGTGGGATCCGAACCGGGGCCCTCTGGCGTCCCAAGTCAGCTCTTAACCATCGCGCCACTCGGCCGGCCTGGGCACATTTTTTTTGTTATGTCTCAGCTTTGATATTTCGGTGTTTTTATATCCTGAGCTAATAGAACGCTTCTCATTTTCAGGTCCAAACATTTGGCTGGAGTATGGCCAATACTCAGTCGGCGGGATCGGTCAGAAAGGTGGCCTGGAGAAAGTCCGCTCTGTGTTTGAAAGGGCTCTCTCATCTGTCGGTTTACATATGACCAAGGGCCTGCCCATCTGGGAGGCTTATCGGGAGTTTGAAAGTGCGATTGTGGAAGCTGCCCGGGTGAGTACCCCTTCTTGTGACCAGTGCTCGCCTTGGAATAGTCGGGGCTCTTTGTCAGTGTTCCTGGAAAAGCGTAGTTAACAAAATGATCTTCACCAATTCCTTAGCTTGTGGGCAGTAAAATAGGTGAAATTAATAGTCTGTGGAACAGCAAGAATGATTTCTTGGACTATAAAGCAGATGACCCTACAATTTGTTCCTTATATTTAAAAATACTGTTGTAGTTCCTGGTTTCAGGATAATATAAAGAGTAACCCTGTCACCTCCCACCCCCAAATCGTGTCCAGAAGTAACTGCAAGAGATTTGACCCCGTTATAATTGCATTTTTTTAGACTGCAGTTTACGGACTTTTATAGCCTGCTCCTTTGTGTCACCTCTCCCCTAAGTGTGTGTGTGCACGCAAAGTTCTTATTGGTACATAGTGAAGCCCTCTAATAGTTAGTCTAATTATTATTAAAGTGGCCTAGTCCCTTCTTGGATTAGGTCCCTGTTCAATTTACCCTGACGAAGGCATTGGGCTGACTCCTGTGGCCGACATTTGTGGCTCCCTCTAGTATCAGACATAACCCTGCATGGACTCTGCTCCCACACTCCCCTCAACATTCCTGTACTTGCTGGCCACCGTACTTTTAGTCATGGGAGTCAGTTCCTTCTCTCACTACCTCTGGAGAGCCTGCAGACACATCCCAGATGCCAGCTACCCCAGGAGTCTTTCCTGATTTCTTCTGTAACAACAAGACTCAGCCCTAAAAACCAGCCGAACGCAAGTCACACTTTGATACTTTGCTTTTATGAGACTTAACCTTCTGCTTCATTATAGTCCTTTGGATTTGTTTCTTATATTTCTTCTTGCTTTCTCCCCATCATAAATACCTAGTAGCAGATATATCATTTATTTTTGTACTTCTTGAAGCATTCGGCACAATACCTCATGTATAAGAGGTCATACAATTTTTTTCAGTTTGGACAAAAAATGTGTTGAAATAATTTTTGAAGTAGAAAGAACCAAAGTTTGTCATTTACTACGAATTTGCTTCTTTAGCCCATAGCTGGCTTCCTTTCCCCTTTTGACCGGGAACAAACCTTTGATTCACAGCTGGAGAAAGTGCACAGCCTCTTCCGGCGACAGCTGGCGATCCCACTCTATGGTAAGAGACACTGACACGTCGACAGCCAGCTCTTCGTGGTTTTTAAAACGCTGTGGGGCATGTCATGTCAGTAGGCCTCTGCCAGCACCCTGTGAGGCAGATGGAGCCGGCGTTCTCATTCCCACTGCACAGTGTCAGTGTGAGGAGGCCCTGGGTAGGAGTGTGTCTTGACTTGTTAATGCTCAGTTGGGTTATGAGGGTCACGCGGGACCGGAAGCCAGCCTATATTATATGCTGGAGAGGCAGCGATAGGGTCTCCGAAAGGAATTGGGAAACCGACCCCCTGTATTTTCGGGGAAACTAGATTGAATCAGAGTTCCATTCTGAGCATTTTCTCTTCAGGAGTAACCTCTTCCCGTGACAGAGTGGGGATTTTACATGGGCCTGTGTCATTCTTCTGTGGGCCTGTGTCATTCTTCCGTGGGGGTGATTTGGCTCAGGAGCACCATCGATCCCAAGTATTCATATTTGAATGTCTTGGGGGTTTGGTAAGGATTCTCCTTTTCAGGTGAATGTATTTTGGCAAGCCAAGCCTGTGAGGTTCTGGAGTTTCTTATGAGCAGTGCCAAGATGGTTTTCCCCAGCCTCGCAAGAGTTTGGCATCTTTGTGTTCCTTAGGCATGATTGTTTTTTACTTGGTCCCAGGCGTTATTTCTTTTTGCTTCATGGTTTATTTGGATTTGATTTAACAAACTATAAAGTGGCTCTTCAGTCAGATCCTTGGGTGACATGCAGAAAAGGCTAGAACGGAGCTGGCTTGTAGATTTCATCTCGTGTACCAGCGTAGCATAGCATAGTGAACTTGAGCCAGACTGCCTGGGTTCAAAACCTTGCTCTCCTGTTAACTGTAGACAGTTGATGTAACCCTCTGCTTGTGCTTCCTCAATGGCAAAACGGGGATCACGGCAGAGCCTACCTCACAGAGTTGTGAGGACCCAGTGGGTTAATAGATGTGAAGTGTTAGAACCTAGGAAGCACTAAGTGACTTGTTAAAGCATTGCAATTAGTTTCATTAACTCTGATGGATTAATTAGTTGACAGGGCTGCCTGGGAGAGTACTTTGAGGTAGAGTCTAAGGCCAAGTCTGAGCGCAGCAGAAGAGCACAGGATTCCCTCAGAGTTACTATGGCCCCAGATGTGGGAGGGGTTAGTAATTCCTAATTTGTCTGGATTGGTAAAACCCAATGGCAAGACCCACGGGGCTGAATCCATCTTTCAATAGATATGGAGGCAACATTTGCAGAGTATGAAGAATGGTCTGAAGACCCGATACCAGAGTCGGTAATTCAGAACTATAACAAAGCACTACAGCAGTTGGAGAAATATAAACCCTATGAAGAAGCACTGGTAAGTGTTGGCTTCTTTTACAGTCAACTTCTCTCTACAAACTTCTCCCTAATCGATAGTTGCAAGTAAAACAGTATCTTTAAAACTTGTTTTATTGTGAAATATATAGAGTATATAAATGTATACCTACACTTTACGTACTAATAATACAGTGAACATCCATGTACCCACCACCCAGGTTAAGAAATAGAACATTGCCAGTACCTTAGAAGTCTCCTATGTGTCCCTCTCCGATTGCCTTCTCCTCCCTCTCCCGAGAGGTAATCACTTTCCTGACTTTTGTGATAATCATTCCCTTGCTTTTCTTTATAGTTTTACAACCTGTGAATGTATCCTTAATTAATATATTGTTCAATTTTGCCTGGTTTTGGACTTGTATGTACTGGAATCATGCTGTATATTTTCTTTGATTCAACATGGTTTTGGGTTTTACTGGTATCGATAAGTACAGTTACAGTCCATTTGTTTTGCAAAGAAGTTGTCTGTATATAAACAATTCATCCACGCTCTTAGATAGTTGGGTTGTTTCCAGTGCGTTGCTTGGAGCAGCAGCATTGCTCCAACCGTTCGTTGTATGTATCGGAAAAGAGTTTCTCTCTGTGAACACCTAGGAATGGAACTGTTTTCCTGGTTATCAGTTTACTCTCTTACCAGCAGTACCTGAGATTTCTCATTGCTTTTGCTGACCTTGGATATCAACTTGCTTAAAATTAGCCAATCTGATTTGTCTCAAATGGGTGTTTTAATTTGCATTTCCCTGATGAGTAACGAAGTTGAGCATCTTTCCCGATCTGTTGGCCATTCAGATTCCTTGTTTTGGTGAAGTGCCTGTTCAAGCCTTGGACTCGTTTTCCTTTTGGTTTTCCTTTTTTTTCCTAATTGATTTGTGGGGCTCCTGGATATTAATCCTTTTTTTTTTCTTTTGTTGTATGTATTGCAAATTTTTCCCCCCAAGTTTGTGGTTTGTCTTCTCACTTTTTAAAATGGTATCTTTGGATGACCAGTTCTTAATGTTCATCGAATTGGATTTATCATTCTTTCCCTTAGGGTTTGTGCTTTTGTTACACTAAGAACTCTCTCCGTACTCTGAAATCATTAATATACTTAGCTCTGTTTTCCGTAGTTCTGTAGCTTGTGTTTAGGTCTTCATCTGGAATTGATTTGCGTGTATGGTGTGAGGCAGGGCCCAGTTTCATTTTTCCATACGAAGCACCAGTTGTTCCAGCACTGATGGTGATAATACTGTCCTCCTCTCACTGACTGATGGCAGTCCCACATCTGTCATAGATTAGCTGTTCTTTTATGTGTGAGACTTTTCCTGGCCTCTCTGTGCCGCTCCGCTGGTTTATATTACATTGTCGTAATCATGATAATTTTGATGTTAGGTAGATGAGTCCCAAACCACCTGTTCCTCTTCAAGAGGCTCTTGGCTTTCTTTAGCTCTTAATGCTTTCATTGAACTTAGAATCAGCTTTTCAAGTTCTATCAAAGAAACTATTGAATTTTTTGTTGGAATTGCATCGAATCTGTAGATCAATTTGGGGAAGAATGAACACCTTTTAAATATCAAATCTTCCAATCTATGAACATGGTATAGGCCTCTGCTATTCAAAATAGGCCTTGTCATTCTATAAAGTTTTATAAATTTATAAATTCACCTGGTAATCTTGAACATAGTTTTTAGATGTATTTCCATATGGTTTTTGATGCTATTGAAAATGGTATCTTAAAAAAAAGAAAATGGTATCTTTTTCAAGATTTTCTAGTTGTTCCTGGTATATAAAATGTAAGTTGTGTTTATATTAATTTTTATCAAACTTGCTAAACTCTTACTAATAATAATTTATGGATTCTTTTGGATTTTCCGTATTGACAATAACATACACATTTTTTAAAACAATATTATTTGTAAGTGGCATTTTGTTCTCTTTCTTGGGCTTAGAATACTTTTAACTTCATTCACCGTGCCTCAAACTTATGCCCTTGTTATCTTGTATTTCTGGTCTCTCTGTTTGGCCCACAGGGCATCATTGTTAATTTTAAATCATACAGTCCTAATTTGTTTACATTCACTACATGCATGTCCNATTTTATTGGGGAATTGGGGGAGGGGAACAGACAAGTTGCTGTCCTTTTGTTCTTCAGTCTAGTTGTGGAGGACATTGCTTCACTGGCCCATGTTGGTGTTATAATCGTTGCGCTCTTCCCGGGTGAGGCAGCCGCTCACCGCTCACCGCTACTCATGGCAGCTCTCACCGGCTGCCGGCCGCTCACAGTAGCTTATGGCAGCCCACTGCAGCCTATGCTGTTGCTAGTGACTCACGGCAGCCCAGCTCCAGGTCAAGCTGTTGATCACCATCTTAGCTGTAGAAGGCTCAGCGTAACTGGCCCATGTGGGATCTGAACCGGGGCCCTGCTGCTCAGAGCTCGCGCTCCCAAGCCAACTCAACCAACGAGCCACTTGACCGGCCCAAGTTTTAAGATTTTTATGAGAATTAATAGATCATGCTCTTATCTGTTACTGATTCTTCTGGATCTTTTTGTGTGTGAATTGATACCTACAAACACCATTCACATCTGTGAATTATAAAGGGTAGTAATCACATGAATACCACTTACCCCACCACTGGTCTAAGAGTTAGAACTTCATCGGTACCGTTTCATGTACCTGTGGACTTCTCCCCTATTTCTTTGTTCTGTCTTGACCCTCCTCCCTTGTCCTTTCTAAAACCCAGGTAACTGCTTTCTTGAATTTTATGTGCTTCCTTCTGTTTGAAAATGTGTATAGTTTTATCACCAAAGTATGCACCCCTAAGCAATGTATTGTCCACTTTTGTTTGTTTTTGAGCTTTTTAAGAAGTGTATCAGGCTATATACATAATCTTCTGGGACTGCTTTCTACCCAGCAGCCGGTTTCTAAGATTCATCTGGGTTACTTGTGGCTGCAGTTCATTCATTTTGACTACTGTTTATTTAGTGCACCATTGTGTGAGTTATCCCACAGTTTATCAGTTCTTCTGGCATTTGGGTTGCTACAGTTTTTTTCCCCCCATTACAAACAAAATACAGGTGCATTGTTACTGTTGAACTGTGCTACTATTGAACATACCAGGAGTGCCAAAAAATGTATACAAGTGGACACTTTGGTTAATGTTGCTCAAGCAGTAGACCATCATAATCAGAAATGTCTGGATGCTGATGTAACCACTTTGATCACCTCTTGTCATTGCAGAAGTCAAACATGACTTGTATTCATCTTACGTTATCGGTATATATTGAGTATTACAATTTTAACACAGTTTTTCTTTCTTAAAATGTGTATCCATTTTTTTGGCACCTGTGTATATAACAGTTTCTCTAAGTCAATGTTTTTCAAACAGGTCATGATCATGGGTCATGAATTTATTTTAGTGGATACAACCAGTGCCACCGCTGTCATTTGTTTTTTGCCTACTTAAGTTTATTTCTGAGCACTCTATTGTTCAGTTGGTCAGTTTGTCTATTCTGTGTCAAATTCATGGTCTAACTCTTTATTGCTGAGACTTGCTACCTGGTAAGACAAATCCTCCTTTGTGTATTTTAATGCAGTAGCTAGTATCTAGATTATTAAGAATACATTGTTAGATGGCAGAGGTTAATTGGATGAAGTATAGGTAATCTGCCGTCTCTGGAGAGGGAAATATTTATTGATGATATGTGGCAGATGGCAGAGTAGACACTAGTCTAGTCTCCATGTAGACTTAAGGTAACCCCATACCCTGACTTGTATGAAAGTTTTTTTTACCCTGACTTGCATGAAAGTTTTTTTAAGAAATTAAACTTTTGGGGCTGGCTGAGTGGCTCAGTTGGTTAAGCAAGCGCTCAAGAGTTTGAGCTCTGAGCAACAGCAGTTCGATGTCTGGCCTGAGCTGAGCTGTCAACAGGTGGCAGGATGGCTCAGCTAATTAATTAATAAATAAATATAAATAAATAATTAAACTTTTCATTTTGAGGTATTGTAGATTTCTCTGCAGTTCCTGTGTACCCTTTACTCAGTTTCCCCCAATAGCAACCTTTTGTAAAACTATAGCATTGGGTTGTCGGAAAAGTTATGACATATTTTCCTATGTTTTTCATTGCAAAAATGCGTCATGACTTTTCCGACAACCAAATATAATATCATGACCCAGAGTGACATGGATACGGTCAACACACAGATGGGTTCCCTCACAAGGATCCCCTCGTGCTGCCCTTTTATGGCCACAGTTCCTGACCTCTGACAGCCAGTAATCTGTTCTCCATTTCTGGATTTTGTCATTTCAAGAATGTTATCTAAAGGGGTTGGTACCGTTTGTAACCTTTTGGGATTAGCTTTTTTCCCTCAGCATAATTTCCCTCGTGAACCATCTGCATTGTGTGTATATTAGTTCATTCCTTTTTAATGGCTGAGTAGTGTTTCATGGTGTGAGTGTGCGTGATTAGTTTAATCATTCACCCATTGAAGGACATCTGGATTCTTTTCATTTCAGGCTGTTAGGAATAAAGCTGTTATGAACATTCACCTGGGGTGTTTGTGTGAACATAGGTTTTTTGTTTTGTTTTTTTTAAGATTTATTTTTATTTTTATTGGGGAATCGGGGAAGGGGAACAGACAAGTTGCTGTCGTTTTGTTCTTCAGTCTAGTTGTGGAGGACGTTGCTTCACTGNGAGGCTCTAAAACTTCATTTTCTATATTCAGAGCATGTGTGCCCCCTTGCTGGTCTGCTGCTCCCTTTTTCACATGTAAATGATTTCTGTGTAGTTCTAGTTCCCACAGCCTCATGAGTGATATCCTCAGCCAGCTCACTTCTGTTTTGACCATCATCAGAATGTGGCTGAAAACAAGGCGATTAAGAGGATTTTGTCTAAAAAAAGACTTTTGATTGTATTACTTTGGATCAGTACACATTCCGCATAGCTCCATCTGTCTTCTCCATGGACCTAAACTCCGGTAGGAGCGATGTTTGGAACAACAAGCCTGAAGTAGCACAAGGCACTGAATTACTCCTGTGTGGTAGCGTTTACTGCGCTCAATAGGCCCTGAAAGTGACTTCTGTTTTGGAAGGGCGGCTAGCAGTGGTCATTGGCAGGGGTGTTTCTTTTTAATTCAGCTCCTGATTGATGGGAGATTTAAATGCCCTGCAGTCTAGGGATGGATTCAGAAAAGAGTTTATGGAGCTACTGCCATGAAGAGGCACTTTGGACTCATTCTGCCCATCAAACTGTAGTCCCGTGTGTGCAGAGGCTCTGAGCGCGGGATTGGTGATTCTTGTCTCGGTGTAGCCCGTCTCACCAAAGTTTAATGTGAAGATGTGTTGTGCTTCTTGACGGTACCAAGTAGCTCATTTCAACTTCATTGCAATTCTCCTGTGTCCCAGTTGGAAGCAGAGGCACCCCGGCTGGCCGAATATCAAGCGTACATCGATTTTGAGATGAAGATGGGTGATCCCGCTCGCATTCAGTTGATCTTTGAGCGCGCTCTGGTCGAGAACTGCCTTGTCCCAGACTTATGGATCCGCTACAGTCAGTACCTAGTAAGATAACTGTTCTGATATCATTGTGTGTGCATATATATATTTTTACCAATTTGGGATCTATTTAAAGAAAATCAGTAAGAGTGCTTGGAGTTCGTTGCATGCTGCTCCTCTGTGTGTGTTTTCTTTTCCTTCGTCCCCCTTTTCTGTTTGTTAACTCACTTCGGAAGTTTTCCTAGTGTTTTAAGTTATTTTAAACTGATCACTAACTGTAAAAACAATTGCATAGTCTTACTATTGAGGACTTTATAACAGATTACTATTTTCTTTTAACCTTTTATTATGGAAAAATGTAATCACATAAACGTAGACAGGTTAGTACAGTGAAACTTAATGTACCCATCACCCTGTTTCCACACTCACCTAACAACACTACTCTAGTTTCAGCTGTATCCTTACCCATTTTCCCCATTCCATGTTATTTTGAAGCAAACCCAGAAATCACAGTTCCTTGGTAAATATTTCAATATGTTTAAAAGATTTGAATCAGGTTCCAAGCAAGGTCCGTACATTGGGATTGGCTGATGTCCCTTAAGGCTATGTTAATCTATAGGTTCTCCTCTGCATCTCTCTTCTCCCCCACGCCCCTTTGCATTTCTTTGTTGAAGAAACAAGTCACGAGACATTTCTAAGGACATTTCTTTTGTCGGTTGGTTGTGCTTGGAAATGTCTCGTCGATGGTGAAGTCTTAACCATAAAATTTTCTCTCCTAACTCTGGAATTCTTTATCGTAGGATCGGCAGCTGAAAGTAAAGGATTTGGTCTTATCTGTACATAATCGTGCTGTTAGAAACTGCCCCTGGACGGTTGCCCTGTGGAGTCGGTACCTCTTAGCTATGGAAAGACATGGAGTCGATCATCAAGTGATTTCTGGTGCGAATGTTTTTGTGGGAAAACTTACAAGCTTTTTGTCCCAAGTTAGCAACGTAGAGTTCTGACAAAGTCTTTACATCAGCATTCCCCAGAGTGTTAATTTGGGATATTGGGTATTAGTGACAAGAAGGGCTCTAAGTGGGAGAGAAACCGGTTGTGTTTTTGGCTTCTTAGAGCTTTTTAACCTGCTAGTATTTATTGTGATTTTTCAAGACTCGTGGTCTTGTCTCCAAACTTACTTGGCCTGGAACTCTTTGGATTGCAGGGTGTCTTGTGGAATGCACCCTTTCTAGAACACAGTTTGTGCCATGCTGTGGTAGCTTTTCTCTTGGACATTTCTTTCTAGCTCATTTCACTTTGTTGCATCTTATTATTATTACTTAAAATCACATAGAGTTTTATGGTCAGTAGAAGTTTTTTGTAATAATCTTGATAACTTTATATTAGTTTCTTTTTGAATTGCCAACAAACTGCCTTTTTCTTCAATTCCAGTGACTTTCGAGAAAGCTTTGAGTGCTGGCTTCATTCAGGCCACCGACTATGTGGAGATTTGGCAGGCGTACCTTGATTACCTGAGGAGAAGGGTTGATTTCAAACAAGGTATTTAAGTTCATGCGCTTCAAATCAGAACTGAACTTTTTCTTAACATATCTTTAGGTGAGATGTTCTAGTTGCCCATATACATTGTGTTTGGGCAAATGACGTAGATCATTCGATGGTAACTGTTTTCCCCTGGAAATTGTAGCTATGTAATTCTAATAAATCATGCCGTGGATTATAAAGGAAGAGAATAATCGTCCTGATGTTTTTTATGCAGGTTCCTGCCAGCTTCTTCAGTCCCGTTTCGTATTTCTCTCTTCCCTCCCTTTTATATATCCTAAATAGTTCTCTAAATAAGACTGCTGTGTTTCTTTTAACTCGTTGAACGTATGCAGGATCCCCTGCCTTTCTCCTCTCCCCCCTCAAAAAAAAAAAAAAAATAGCAACCAGAACTCGTTCCTGCTCCTGCAGGTGGCCTTCAGCCGTTCCACTGGCTGGGGGCGTCCCCCTCCGCTGTGTTCCCTGTGCTCGCTTCTGTCATTGTACTTCCCATAATATGCTCTGCTCCAGCGTCTCTCTCTCTCTCTCCCACTATGTGGTGAGGGCAGGGACTGGCACTTCTATTTCTGTGTCCCCAGCGTGATGCCAGGTACATAATAGGCTCCTGGGAGTTTCAGTGCAGGATTAAAAAAAAAGCATGGTCTGTGGTTTCATAAAGCCAAACCTCTTTTGCACTTTCTACCAGACTCCAGTAAAGAGCTGGAAGAGTTGAGGTCCGCGTTCACTCGCGCTTTGGAGTATCTGAAACAGGAGGTGGAAGAACGTAAGTGTGGCCCCAACCTGCTGCTTTGTTCAGTTGAATTTCCTGTTCTCGGCTGATGTGCCTTTTCAGGCAGAGGCTCTTTGTCTCTAAATTACTTTCTATTCTTAAAGGTTTCAATGAGAGCGGGGATCCAAGCTGCACGATCATGCAGAACTGGGCTAGAATTGAGGTAAATGGCTTTGACACACCCGCCGGCTTCATCTACCGTTGTCTAGTAGTGAGGCTACAATTGAGGCAGAGTCCCAGCTGATGGTCCGGGCTCTGTAAGCACATTCACCTAGCTCGATGCCCATTTGTTTCTATCTTAGTGGAAATATTAGCTCCCGGGTAGAAGGTGTGTAAGCAAATGTCTGAATGCCAGGCATGCCCTCACTTACTTCTCCTTCCCTCAGTGCCTCATTCATGAGAGCACGTCACGTGGGTACTGTTTGCCAGGCGCTTTCTGAGGTGCTGGGGAGATGAGATAGGCTCCTATGCTGGGACAGCTTTAACCTAGTGCGGAAGACAGACCGTCTGACTCATTAGAAGATATAATGAGTTGCATGTTATTACTGGCCCGAGGACCTCAAGGTGAGGAAGACACGGCAGCTGCCGTGGATCAGCTCGGAGAATTGTAAAATTCGAATGTTTTATTCTCCGAGGGGGGAGGCAGGTTAAAGAAACCAGGTGGTTTCTGGATGGAATGTTTGTGTTGTAATCATTTTAAAGGTGAGGCAACTGAGGCTCAAGAGAGATTAAGTAACTTGCCCAAGTCACTTAATAAGTGGTGGAGCTGGCATTGGCTCCTAGATCAGACCCTTTCTCTATACGGCCTCTCACATTAAAGTTAACTTGGATAGAAATAAACAAGTGACCAGCCAGCACCGCCTTACTGCCCCTGGGCTCCCACTCTTTGTTCTCAGCCAAGAGGCGGAGGCAGGCAGCTGGAGGCTTGTCACTGCAGACAGGCTGGAGTGCTTGGGCTGGGCCTGTTACCATGCAGGGCAGCCTGGGGACCGTCCCGGCAGTTCCATAGTCAGGGGGTGGCTTTTGAGGCATGTCTGTTTGAAGTAGGTTTTGTAATGGGTGTTGACGTCATAATGTTCAGGTCCTTTCCTAACTGAGCCTTCTCATGCATCTTAGGCTCGGCTGTGTAATAATATGCAGAAAGCTCGGGAACTCTGGGATAGCATCATGACTAAAGGCAACGCCAAGTATGCCAACATGTGGCTTGAATATTACAACCTGGAAAGGTAAGGACCTGGGGTGGGGAAGGGCAGGCGGGGTTTGTCAGGAGCGTCTCTTCAGTCCTGACTGACGCCCGCTGGCTCTGCCTTGTTCTTCATAGTGGGCCACCGCCTTCCTCCATCCTGCCTCTTAGTGGGCCGGGCTGGAGAACCAAACATAATATTTGATGCCTGGGCTCTTAGAGCTATGCATGTCTTGTAATATTTTTGGAGGGAAAGGGCGGTTGTTTTGATATTTGGACATGAACATTTTATTTGACTTTTGGGAGGTATTTATTTTTTATTATATTTGCATTGTATATAAAAGTGTAAAATACTAAAGAGCACAGAGGAAGAAAACCCAAATTAACTGCAATCATGGACCCAGACGTAACCAGCATTAGTTAATGGTTTGAGTATATTCTTTAAGACTGTTCTCTGCTTAAATTGAAAAAAAATGAAAGTGTAATTATAGTGTATGTGTTACAAACCTCTAAAATTATTTTAAGTAAAATATGCCTGATAGCATGAGAAGATATAAAGCATATGACTAGCTTTTTTATTCAATATGTCTTGAACATAGAAAGTGCAAGTTTCTTATAATTCCAGCCCCAGAGATAACCACTATTAAAGCTTGTTGACTATTCCCTCTAGATTAGTGGTTCTCAAACTTTTGGGTCTCAGGACCCCTTTTACTCTTAGAATTTGAGGACCCCAAAAGGTGTTTTATATGTAAATTATCTGTTAATATTTACCATATTAGAAAGTGAAAATGGTGTTTCATGAAAAACCTTAGCTAGATTGCACCCCAAACAATGACATATTATTTCCTTTGTGACAACCTTTTACTTCAGTATGCAGACGGGCTTTCTGTGGATAGTTCTGGAGGTTAGAGTCTTCTCAGAAGCTAGAGTTGTGGCACTCACTGTCCGTGAGGAGACTGCCCCGCCTTTGTGTGCCTTCTGCTTTGTGTCCTGGCGGCAACACCTGTTTGTTTTCTGCCCTAGGGCACACGGGGACACCCAGCACTGCAGGAAGGCCCTGCACCGGGCCGTCCAGTGCACAAGCGACTACCCGGAGCACGTCTGTGAAGTGCTGCTCACCATGGAGCGGACGGAAGGTGGGGCCTGGGCTCTCTGCTTCTGGCTTGGAGCCTGTGAGGACAGACGGTGTTATGGCTACAACCCCTCACGTGGTGCACTCTGATTGGGCTGTTCCGTGGTGCTCACCAGTGAGAGCGAGTCCTCTCAGATGCTCCACATACAAGGAGCACCCTCCATCATACAGCTCTAGCTCGGGGCTCTCATAATTCTCTGTGGTGGGGGCAGTCCTGTGTATTGCAGGGCCTGTAGCAGCATCTCTGGCCTCTGTCTACCCACCAGGTGCCAGTAGCAACCCTTCCTGCTCCCAGTCATGACAACCAAAAATGTCTCCAGACATCGCTGAGTGTTCCCTGTGGGTCAAGATCGCTCCAGTTGAGAACCTCTGCTCAAGCACGTCACACACACCAGAGGAGCACAGGGGCAGATGGCTACATGGGTTTTTGGTTATGTGTGCATCACTTGCTGCATTTCAGAGCCCCAGTACTAAGTCTCCAGTAGGAAAATGTGAATTTATCCATAGACATTGGTCTGGAATTTGGGTGTGAAGCCCTCAGACCTTGAAATAAAACACCCAAACAACAACAAATTACAGAATACCCCACATTTATCATTTGAGGTACTCTTAATATAAATGTCTTGTACCTTTTGCTTTAGAATGTTTTCATAATCTTTGCCAGGGAGAGCCCATATTAGATCACATTCTAGTTTTCAAAGTCTCTTTTCTTAAAAGAGAAGAAGCGTTTTAAACACACCCAGAAGGACCATTTGAATTCTAAAACTTCAAGCCTATACATAATAAAATCATCTTAAAATGGGGAGCTGGCTCTCCATCTAATTTTTATTGTCTGATGGGAGAGATCTCTTTTGGGTTGTGGGGAAATTAAGAAAATCTTACTATATTCTTCAAAAACCTAAAAAGTGAAAGTTTGCTTTTTCTTTCTATCAAGGTACTTTAGAAGATTGGGATATAGCTGTTCAGAAAACAGAAACTCGATTAGCTCGTGTTAATGAGCAGAGAATGAAGGTAATTATGCCGTTTGTTTGAAGTCTTAGGAACCTCTGATAACTCTTCTGTGTTTCTTATAATATTTCTTCTTAAAACCTTCGAGGTCTTCCTAAAAAGTGTCTTTTACTTAGTATTTATTACAAAATATTTGAATCAATATCTAAACCTATCTTGCATTATTTTTTAGATCTGCTTAAAACTTTAGCCCCAACAATAAATACTTTTTTATGTAGTGAGGGGAATTTTGGCCCTAAAATTTGCTAGAATAGATGAAAAAGAGTAAAAGGAGCCTCACTTATTCTAGTGATTGGATTGTAAACACCCCCAGATTACCTAGGGCCCCAGTGTGATAGATTATTTCTTGCTCTGGGTGAGTAATTATTGGGGATATAGTAAAACACACTGTAGACTTGAGGGCCAGCATCCTGGGAAGCCTGAACAGCACTGGCAGGGGAGGGTTATGAGCACGCCCTCTTTCTCGTTCTTCATGATCGCATCCTTTCACCTGGGTAATGAGTTTCCACGCCGTGTCCCCTTTCGTCTCCTCATCACAAGTCAGTAGAGTTCATGTCATTGCTGTGTCCAGTATTGCATCATATTCCCACTTTTCCAGGCAGCGGAGAAGGAAGCTGCTCTCACCCAGCAAGAAGAAGAAAAGGCTGAGTACCGGAAGAGGGCCCGGGCCGAGAAGAAAGCGCAGAAAAAGAAGAAAAAGACCAGAGGCGCAGACAAGCGCAAAGCCGATGAGGACGATGAGAAGGAGTGGGGCGATGATGAAGAAGGTAAGGCTTTTCAGCAGTTTTATTTTGGGACATCTCACCCTTCCAGAGATGTTGCAGAAACTGTACAGAGACCTTTTCTCCTTGAACCATTTGAGAACACGTTGCTAGCATGATGTGCCATCACGCTAGCTGTCGCTACTCTACGCCCTGTGCCAGGCCCTGCCCTGCGCAGACACCCTTGCCCATCCGCCTGGGCTCCACTCACTACACTGTGCCGTTTGCCACCGCTGCCCTCCTGTATGGTGCCCTCCGCACCCAGCTCAGGCTCCTGTACCCCAAACTGCCCCTGCCCTATGTGTGGACACCCCTTTATGCCACTCAGGCTCCAGTATCCTGACCCCAGCTTCATCCCCACCCTGCATGGACACCTGCCTTGCTCAGCCCCACCTATGCTTTTGATTTAGTAGAATTTTCCAACCGGTGTTTCTGTCAACCCTGCAACTTCAGGAGTGGGCAGGTGTGGCTGTATCTCAGATGTATCTCAGCAAAGTCAGCCATGGTAAAGAATGGTCTCTAGACATTAAAGGACCCCGCAATTTTCCTAGTACAAAGTTGTCAGCCAGAGGGAAGTAGTAACGGATCATCATTCAGTTGACCTTTTTCATACACCTTTTTGGAACCTTCAGAAATGATGGCAGTAGCTCACTGCTCGTCAGAGCTCCTGGTTTAACAGGATAAGGCAAATGTGACATGTGACTGCAGTGGCGTGTAATTGGGACTGTGGGAGGTGTAGGTGTGAATTATTACGGTGGGAGCCAACCAAGGCGCTAGTGGGTCAGCTCCCTGCAAGAAGGAGTTTGCGGGGAAGTGATACATGCACCTGGGTTCTGGGAGGAGGAGTACGAGTGACTGTCAAGTGAACAAGAGGGGAAGCCAGCCAGCCAGTGTCAGCAGAGTGTGAGGCACGGAACAGCCTGGCATTTTCTGTGAGCAGCAGATAGCTGGGTCTGAGTCCTGGCGCATGCTGTGGGGCAGGTGCAGGTGAGGAGGCTGGAGCTGCCGGCAGGCCAGCTGGCCGGGCCCCACTCGGCTGCTCTGGAATGCAGCACGCAGGGGTTCGACTTCATCAGGAAGCAGCAGGGAACGGATGGAAGGGTCTGCAAATAGGGGGCCTGCCAGTTGGGTTTCAATACTGTCGCCCTGGAGACTGTGAGGCGAATGGGCTGGAGTAGAAGGTTGTTAAACTCTTGAAGGACGCAAGCCAATAGTGGAAGTTCTCAGGAACTATGGACCCTTGGTAGTGCCTGCATGTGAAGCGTACACGTCAGACTCACCTAAGGTGCTTGTTTAAGCGCGGGTTCCCAGGCCCCACCCCGCCCTGGCTGAGGGGCCCTGGAATTTGCCCTCTGAACTTTGAGACCCCTGACTTTTTTATATAATTAATTGTAGATGACGAGAACTCATGTTATCAGTTTCACTTAATTGAGTCCACTTACCTGAATGTGATCAGGGTCCAGAAAGTAACCCAACAAGCCAGTGAACCCAGAAAGACTTGACAGGCTGGGCGTGTGCACTCGGTGTCTGTGGAGGGAGGCGGGTTTACCACGGGCAGCTGTTGCAGACTAGCCGTTTGTGATGGGAAGAGCACGGACACGGAACAGCCCGCTGACAGGAAACAATCCTTGCTGCCTTTTCCCCCTAACAACCTGCAGAGCCTGCTTCCAAGCGCAGAAGGGTTGAGAACAGCGTCCCTCCAGCTGGAGAGGCACAAGACCTGGAGGCGGAAATAGGCCTCTTTGGGAAAAGCGCGCCTGTAGACGTTGAGCCCCCCTCAAAGCAGAAGGAGAGGGCGGCCGCCATGAAGAGGGACGTGCCCAGGGTGCTGCACGACAGCAGCAAGGACAGCGTCACCGTCTTTGTCAGCAACCTGCCCTACAGCATGGAGGAGCCGGACGTGAAGCTCCGGCCACTCTTTGAGGCCTGTGGGGAAGTGGTCGAGATCCGCCCCATCTTCAGCAACCGGGGCGACTTCCGGGGCTACTGCTATGTGGAGTTTAAAGAAGAGAAGTCGGCCATACAGGCACTGCAGTTGGACCGGAAGAATGTAGAAGGGAGGCCGATGTTTGTTTCCCCCTGTGTGGATAAGAGCAAAAATCCCGATTTTAAGGTATGTTCGTGGAAAAAACAGTGCCTTGCATGAAGGGTTGCTTTAGACACAACACTTTCTTCATGCTGCAGCTTATATTTAAAATACACAGGGAATAGCTCTACTCTGTTAAGAACTAAACTTCCAACGTTAACTGGGGTCTCTTCTGAGCTGGTTAATTGAAGTTTGACTCATGGCTCAGTCACTTCGAGCTTGCATTTGTTGACAGATGATGATAAAATTAGGAGTTGTAATAAGGCCTCCTTTTTGTCGAGTGCTTAGGCATGACAAGGGACTGTCCTAAATATTTCATATATTACCTTATTGGATCCTCACCCAAACTCTGAGAACAGCTATTCTCATTCTTGCCATTTTATAGGGGAGGAAGTAGATGCTTGGAGAGGTTAAGTGACTTGCCCAGGGTGACCCAGTGAACAGTTCCCAGCACCCAGTCGGCTGTGGTCTGCCTTGCTGGTACCAGCTAGAGTGTGGTTGGGTCGGTGTGCTCGCTGGGCCTTGAGTGGCTGATTTCTTTCCCCTCCTTTCTTCCTGTAGGTGTTCAGGTACAGCACTGCGCTGGAGAAACACAAGCTCTTTATCTCGGGTCTGCCTTTTTCCTGCACAAAAGAGGAACTCGAAGAGATCTGTAAGGCTCATGGCACCGTGAGGGACATCAGGCTGGTTACCAACCGGGCTGGCAAACCAAAGGTGAGCGTCTGAGTGCACGGCATGTAGCCTTCCGCGCCTTGGACAGCCTAGTCCTGTGTCTGCTCAGAGAGTATTTGGTTCTAGAGTGGGTTCCTAGTTTACCTGCTAAGAAGCAGATGATAAGTTAACAAAAGGACAGGTACACTAGACTCTGCTTGCATTTGGAGCCAGATTAATGTGTTTGTAGCTAATTGTATTAAAAAGAATCAGGCATTTGGGGGAAAAAAGCTACCACAAATTATTAGCAGGGGGCACAGTGTGGGGCCTTGGGCAGGGGCCGTCCTCTGCAGTCCCCTCCCTCTTGCTCAGACTCCTCCTTTTCCCTCGGCCTCCAGCCATTTCCTTAAGTCCCTCCATCCGACTCCCCATTTTCATGTCCTCCCCTGTAGCCTCCTCAGCCTCTTGCTAATCCTCTTTGTACCTCATTTTGAGTTGTGTTCTTTAAGCATGAGTTTGGATTACCTCTCTCCCCTCCACCTCCCATCCAGGTTAATTGAGAGTTAAAGAGTATGAAATGGGGTGGGGGGGGGGCACAAAGGCATAGACATTAGGGCCCACCTGGGCTGCTCCCCCTGTGTCCAGGCCTCCTCATCCGTTTGCTGGATTAATACTGATCCGTCTTTGTTTGTTTGTTTGCTGGAGTAAGCACAAGAGGTACTGAACTTAGAAAGGTTACCTGAAATTACAGTCAGTTATAGAAATGGGGAGGAAGGGTATGGCCGGGAAATAAACGTATAGGCAAGGATGGCGGAGGTGGGGAAGGGCACCTGTTGATGGGCTGACCTGACTGGAGCGAGGAAGGTGTGTCCTGGCGCTCCAGCCCATGACTTGGCTCTTCCAGGGCCTCGCCTACGTGGAGTATGAGAACGAGTCCCAGGCATCGCAGGCTGTCATGAAGATGGACGGCATGACTATCAAAGAGAACACCATCAAAGTGGCCATCAGCAATCCCCCTCAGAGGAAGGCTGCAGAGAAGCCCGAAGCGAAAGGACCAGGTGGCCCCATGGTGCCGCGGCAGATATATGGAGCGTAAGTGTTTGCACGCCCGCCAGCGCAGACTTTGTCCTGGCCGGCGCCATGATGAATTCATTTCTGGTAATACAGCGTGTTAGGACAGACAGTCCGGCCTGCTGTCCACTGTAGTCCCCAGAGCAAGGGTGTCCACAGCACATCCACACAGAGCACAAGCCCAGAAGTGGAACCCTTCCTGGTATTTGCCAGTTTACACTTGTGATTTATTTAAGGTCACGTTGTTTTCAGGCTGTGATTATTGTGAAGTCCTCTTTGCCAATTGAATCCATGTGTTTAAAACCAAGCCGGACCACCGTATGCTTGCCAGGTCATCTGCAGCTCTGGCTGTCACCATAGAAAAGTTATGTCTCTACCTGATAGGGATGACACAGCAAAATCACAAGGTGATTTGGTGAGGTCTGAAAGATTACAGCCAATTTTATCTACCCTGTGGTGGCTGCAATACACAGGGTTGGTCCTTGCCAAAATTGGGGAAAAGGCCAAGTTAAAGTGATTTTTACCTACTAGTCAAAGTCAAGGAGACTTAGGCATTGTCTTACCCTTCTTGGTTTTTCTTTCTCACCGTTTAACTTCGAGTGATTTAAGACTAGCCTGGCTTATTGTCACAAACAAACCAGGGGCCACGAATTATTACTTTGAAAGTACATCCAGTGTTTGCTCTTGCAGGCGGGGGAGGGGAAGGACCCAGCTTTCTCTGCTGCCTCGCGCCCTGCAACGCCCAAGCACTGCAGTAGCTCAGGCTGAGAACGGGCCTGCCCCGAAGCCAGAAGTCACCACCTCAACAGTCACGGAGGCTCCCAAGATGTCCAACGCTGATTTTGCCAAGTTGCTTCTGAGAAAGTGAACGGGACTCAGAAGGGAAATGCCTTACTTCATGCTGGCCAGGAAGACCACCAGTCACCCAGCTGTACCCTGGGTATGGAAGCGCCTGCACCCACGTAGTTTCCTCTGGGTTAGACAAAGGGAAGCAGTGTCCAAGGAAGGAGGCTGTACGTGCTCCCTCATATTGAGGGCGACAGGAGGAAAGCAATCACTCCATAGGCTGGGCACAGGGTGTAGTTCCTAAGATTTTGTTTGTTTGTTTTTTTGTCTTGAAGAGTTAGAAACGGAAGTGAAACTTGAACACATCGTTTTGAGACCCACTTGTCCAAATGTTTTTGGCCAACTCTGGCCCCTTTTTTATAAGACACTTCTTGTACACTCTGCATAGCGCATGTGCCCCTCACTCTTTTAATTTTTAAAAGACAAAGTGGCAGATGCTAGTAACTCACCAGAATGGCCTATTTTAGTAAAGGGGTGGGGAATAGGAGACGTCACCTAAAAAATATTGGATGGGTTTTTGTTGAAGGGGCTGTGTTTTTTTTTTATATTATGTATTTGTAAATGACATGTCAACCCACTGTTTTATGTTTCCTAAAAGCAAAATATTTGTGACATTTGTTTTATATAGGAATTCTGTGTGCCATCTGCTGTGGACCATTTTCTTTGCCTAGTCAATAGTGGACTGTGTTGTCTAAATATTGAGTTCCAGCCCTTTAGTTTTGTTTAAATATCACGTCAAGTGCAAACTTAAATCTTCCCCATTTAGCTTTGTTTATTAAACTGAAGATCTCTTAAAAACTTCTTGAGGAATGGTACTTAGCTGTGCATTCAAATACAGATGTATTTTGAAATGGGTGTACCTTGCTTTACCTAATAGATATGTAAATAGACCTTTTGTAAGTCAAATCCTCTTGTCACTTTAAATCATTTCAGCTGCAGTTTGTCTTCAGTTTTAACACTTCAGTTCATGGCAGTTTCAGACTTTAGCTTTTAAGTTTTTTTACCCCTCATTTATCAACTATTTATTGCTTTGAAAGTGACACTGCCAGTTCAGTAGGGGAAACTTACTTTATAAAGGCACTCTGGGGGACACACCAGGGAATCCTTTCATATGTGATGGAAATCAGTTCTTATCTGTTAAAGTTTTTGTGCATCAGTCAGGCTTCACTACATTTCTTAACTTGAACTTTTAATGGAAACTTTTTTGTGTGTGTGTGAAATTTTATTGGGGAACAGTGTGTTTTCCAGGACCCGTCAGCTCCAAGTCAAGTAGTTGTCTTCAGTCTAGTTGTGGAGGGCGCAGCTCCGTGGCCCATGCGGGGATCAAAATGGCAACCTTGGTGTTATGAGCACTGCGCTCTAACCACCTGAGCTAACCTGCCGCCCCCTGTGGAAAAATTTTTAAAGGAAAGAATAGTGAGATAAACTTATGTAGTTACCATTGAATGTCAGCATTTCTCACCTCATAGCCCTTCTTCCTTCATCTCTACCGCTGCCTCCTTCCTCTCTCCCATATTATGTTGAGGGATACCCCAGACATCATAGCACTCACCCAGTAATATTGTAGCATGTGTCTTTAAGACATAAAGGCCATAATTTTATCACAATTCCTAGAAACGTTAGCAATACCTTCATGTCCTCAACTATCCAGCAAAATTCCAATCTCCTGTTGTTTCATAAATGTCAGTTCCCCCCCATAAGTAATGACTGGTCTTCTACTCTGTAGGTCCCCCTCTACCTTGTCTTCCTCTTTTTTGCACAGAAACATTTTTTGTTAGGAGTAATCTGAATTAAATTCAAACAGTGACTATTTCTCGCCTCACAAGCAGTCAGAAGCAGCTGTGTGGTAGTCCTGCTTCCGTCTGCGCTGTTCTCTGACTGGCCACTCACTTCCCTGAGGAACCCTGTTTGGTGGGTGAGGCCTGGGGACGGGTGGAGACCCACACTGAAGAGCAGTGAATATTTCCTTAGCGATCCAGGTTTGGGTGGTTTTCCTCTTTGCTGCTGCACATTTCACTGTTTTGTTCTCTTGTTGGCCAGCCCTCTGACCTCACTTCAGTCTCAAATGTTACCACAGACTTGTCCCAGAGGTGAACCTTTTCAGACTTAAGCAGGACGCGGTTTAGGTTCGGGGTATTGACTGTTCTAGAAATGGATTTTCAGGAATGTACGACTGGGTTTATGTGTTTTCCCCAGAAATCATGAACTCATAGTAAACAAACATGAAAAACCATTTCAGTAACTTCAGTCCTAGTGAAAGGTCAGTGGTCCATCCCTGTCAACCTAAGTAGGCCGCTTACCCAACCAGCTGTCTTCTTTTCCTATTGAAATTCCTGTCTTGGATCGGTTTTACTGCCAGAACAATATAGAGTACGGCTGAGGTCCTGGAAAAAAACCCCTTCTGCATCCTTCTGACAAATGGGACCATCTCGTGACTAAGACAGCAAAGTCTGAGGCATTTATTTAATATAATAAAATACTTTATTAGAGTCAGTTATTCATTAAAATAATATCCTTCACATATACAGCTAAAGTGCAGATTTCTATAGTACAAAGCAAGCACTTCTATCAGGCTTCCTTGGTGTGCCTATTATTAAAACCAAGACTCAAGAAGAGTTAGGGTTTAAGAAATACTTCGTGGCAGCATACAAATAGGAAAATATTTTTTATAAAGCTTTGAATAACTATCACTTGGGGCCATTTCATACACCTTTACACTTAATTTCCTTAATCTTTCAGAAAACCACTCTCAGGGTGCTTATTCTACAATTATATAACTGTATAAACACTTGCTACATAATAGTGACCTCATTACTCTCAGGATCTAAATTCTCAAATCAGAGACAACACTGTACATATTCACCACCATTCAGACACTGACAAAGTGCTGTCTGTCCAGTGTTGGACATCACGGGCTCTGTCCCTGAAGGGGAATACAAAGATTTTTGACAATTCTGACTAAATAGCAGCAGTCATATTGGCACCTGTGCCATGTATAATTGGAAGAGGTTTTTTTCTATTTCCATACTGACAATTTGGCTGTATTCCAAATTTTCTAAGATGCTTGAAAAAATAAGGCCACTCCAAGGCAATCTATTCTGCTTCCCCGAGGGGACGCTGGAGAGTACACTGGCTGTGGGACATGGGGGTCAGGTCAGTAAGAGGATAAAACTGCATGACAAAAGGGGCATGTTTTGGCTGTAGTCAAAGGGTTTTGGGGTTCAGTAGAAACTGGTGCCCTAATTCATATCAAAAGTGCTTATCTGGTGTTGATATGGCATCTGTTTTCTCAGCTCTGCTCCTTAACATCTACCTATAGAAGACGTTAAACTCAGAATGGGGGTGAGGGCAGAGTTACCCACTTGCACAATACCTACCTCATTTGCAGCATGATTCGTTTGTTCAGTGAAACTCCAGAGAACTTTTAGACTAAAACATCTGGTCTGAGTTGCTGCAAATGAAGTGAGAGAAACAGCGATAGAAAAAGCTAGACTGGCCATTCCCCTAGTCTTAATTAGAAAAATAGTCTTGATATGGAAAAATAGCCTCTGACACTAGAGTTTGCAAACTAACTGTGGCTCAAAGACTCTTCCTTGAAATAAACAAGGGATTGAACTAGAACTGTTGTCAACATTCATTTTATTTCACATCTCAGAAGTTTGCTCTACCAGTAAGAATTAGTTACAACACTAATCTCTTTGTAGGGGAGCAAAAACCTCTAAGAAAGCAAGCATTCAGCCATTTCTCAAAACTGGGACCAGGTTCTCCCCAGGAGTGCCAACCTCCCAGGTAGAGTCAGAACCTTTCAGCCAGTTTCAGAGAAAGACTTGGAGGAGTTAGTCCTGTGGCTCTGGACCTCGTCCCACAGCACTTGGCCTCTCCCCACCTTAGTGCAAATTCTGCTCCAGAAACTATTCTGGTCACGCCAGAAGCACTGGTGCCCCCAAAGCCTGCTGGGACCACCATGAGAACGGGCCATCAGCACGGACAGCAGACAACACACAACATTTACTAGCTCAAAAGAACAAAATAAATAACTTGGCTGAATTATAAGTTATCTTAGAGACAAGGCTTAATAATTTAGTTTTTCTTCTTTAACTAAAAAACATTTGGAGGTAAAGAATATTTAAGTTCCTTATCTAGCTCCTTTTGCTATGGGAGATGACAAGGTTTTTAGAAATGTTCAGTTTCTTTGATTCTTTTTCTCCTCCCGGACATCCTGTCACTAAGGATGGCTTTAGAAGGTTAAGGTTTCACAGGCAGCGTCTCCTTCAACCCAGAGTGGTTGGGTTTGGCCTCTGGCAGTGCCACCGGGTACTCCGTTGTGGCGAAGAGCAGGGTGTCCAGGGTGGTCTCCGTACACTTGGCGATGAAGCGAATGAATGGCCTCACATCCCCTTCGTTGGCGACCTCCAGTACGTGGTAGTACTCTGACCTCTGCTCCTTGCGGATGGTGATGGGCGGGTAGCCTGCCTGCATCAGGATGAGGTTCATCAGCAGGCGCGAGGTCCTTCCATTGCCGTCAATGAAGGGATGGATGTAAACGAGTTTATAATGGGCCAAGGCTGCAAACTCAACTGGGTGCAGGTTCATGGCATCCTCGGAGTTGAGCCACTGTATGAACTCCTGCATCTGCTTTTCCACATCTTGAGGATGGGGTGGGACGTGGTGTCCCACGAGGACCTGTGTCGTCCGAAACCTGCCGGCTTCCACCGGATCCACATAGCCCAGCACCCGCCGATGGATCTCCAGCACGTCGCTGATGGTGACAGACCCGATGCGGGAAACCAGCGTCGTGTTGACGTACTTCATTGCTGCGTGCATGCCAATGACCTCGTTCTGCTCCTCCAGGCTTTTCCCTGGCACGGCATAGCGGGTCTCCAGGATGTGCCTGATTTCCGAGAGGGTGAGGGTGTTGCCCTCGATCGCCACCGTGTGGTAGATGTGATGGTAGTACGTTTCTTCCATGACCCTGCGCAGCGCAGAGCTGCCCTTGGGGATGGACATGACCTTCTTCACCTTGCCGTCGATGATGCTGAAGTATCTCTGGTCGATCTCCTCCACCAGCGGCAGCGTTCGGTCCCGGTTGATCAGCGCCTTCTCATGGTGGGGCGAGATGGTCAGCGCTCTGGTGTACAAGTAATCTGCCTGGATGATGTCCTTCTCTTCTTCGGAGAAGATGCCGAACTCGTTGAGTGCGTCCACAAAGTCCGGATCCATTCTGAGGGCGTGCAGGAAGAGCTTGTGGGCTTTCTCCCGCTTGCCCTGGCGTTTCATTTCCAGGGCTTGGTTCAAAGCCGCTCTGGCTTCCAACTTACCAGCTGGAAAAGAGCCAAAAGAAGCACTGTCAGGGCGAACAAGGAGTGGCGAAGGACATTCAGGTGAGCTGTCAACTGCTGGGCCCCCAGGGGGAGCCATGGCCCTGGGGGCGCTCATTCCTGCCATTCTTTCATGTTCTTCAGTGTGCCCCCTACCACGACACGCATGGATGTTCCCCACAGCCCCACGGGGCACTCGGCTGTTCATTGTCCACTTGTCCCCAAAGCCATTCTCTGTACCCTGGGAGGCATCACCTGACGCTCTGCCTTCGACTGCCCTGGTGAGTGGCTGTGGTCCTCAGGGGCCACCAGCGCCCCTCACACGGCCCTCCCTGCATCTTCTCTGGCTCTTGGCTGTTCTCGTGATCCATCCTGATGGTGCCTGCCCTGCCCCTGTAGGTCAGGCTATGAACAGTTCCCTACTGGTACCAGCCCCTGAGGCCTCCCCATCCCTGGACCCTTTAATTCTTTTAACCTGTTGGTTCTCAGCTGGACCCTGCTCGACATCCAGTCTTCCCTCCACCAGCCCCTCACCGAGTCAGTGTCAGCCACACGTAATCAGCTTTTATTTTAGTTCAAGTGCCCCAGACTCCCTTACCCTTTAGTCTCTGCCTGGAGCACTGTCCCCTCATACCTGTTCCCTTGGGTCACTCCCGCTTACACTTGGGGATCAGCTTAGGCATCCCCTCCCAGGGAGCATTCCTGTGGCCCCCTTTCTTTGCTTCCCCATCACTACACTGGTGGCACTGTATCTGTCACCTGTCAGCTTGTCTAGGCTGGGAGATCAGGGCTGATTTCTTCACTAATACCCTGTGCCCTGCATACAGGACACTCTAAGGACACTAAGTATCTATCGCATTAACAAGTGTTGAGAGTGACGTCATCATCATGGCAGAGTGAGAAGACTCCATCGTTTCTCCCCTTAAATTTACAAGTCAGACAACTAGAACTCAACAAAGGATTCCCTGCTCAACATACAACCACACCTGAAAGATCCACGCACTGGAACATCCAAAGGTGGGTATACAGGAACGAGTAGGGGAGTCAGGATTGGGTAAGGATAGGGATGGTGGCCACAGATAAGGGTTAGTGTCCACTGGGAGCAGTGGAGAAGCCGGGCTGCAGCCTTCACACTACAGCCTGGATTGTAAGAGGGGCAGAGCATTCTCTCTGGGAAAAGGCGTCTCTCTTCCCAGATCCCCATCAAGGAAAAGCCAGGTAGAGGTGGCTGGGAAGTCTTAAACAACACAGCAGTTCTGACTGCCTCTGCTGGTGATGGTGCGGGGTGGGCGGAGCCATGAGATCATGAACTTGCTTCCTCAAACACCCGGGCAGAGCCTGGGTAAAGAAAGGTGGGAGATGAAAAAAAAACATACCAAAATTTTTGGGATGCAGCAAAAATGCAACTATGAGGGAAGTTTATAGCATTATGGGCCTACCTCAAGAAACAAGAAAAATCTCAAACAATCTAACATCACACCTTAACTAGAAAAAGAAGAAATGAACCTCAAAGTCAATAGAAAGGAAATAATAAAAATCAGTGCAAATAAATGAAAGAGAGAACAAAAATAGAAAAAAAATAGTGAATCAAAGAGCTGTTTCTTTGAAAAGAGACAAAATTGACCAACCTCAGCCCACACTTACTAAAGAAAAAAGAGCAAAGACTCAAAATCAGAAATGAAAGATGCGAAGTTAAAATGGACACCACAAAAATACAAAGTATTACACAAGAACGTTATGAAAAGCTATATGCCACCAGATTCAATAATCTAGGAGAAATGGACAAATTCTTAGAAATATACAACCTTCCTAGGCTGAATCACGAAAAATTGGAAAACCTAAAAAGACCCATCACGAGTAAGGGAATTGAAACAGTAATCAATAACCTCCCATAAAATGAAAATTCCAGGACTAGATGGCTTCACTGGTAAATTCTACTGAATATTCAAAGAAGATGTAATACCAATCCTCAACCTCTTCCAAAATACTGAAGAGGAGCGAATACTTGCTAACTCATTTTACGAGGCTAGCATTACCCTGATACCAAAAAACAGGCAAGGATAGCACAAAGAAAATTATAGGCCAATATCTCTGATGAATATAGATGCAACAATTCTAAACAAGATACTAGCAAACTGAATACAATAATGCATTAAAAGGGTAATATAGCATCACATCAAGTGGGGTTCATTCCAGGGATGCAAGGATGGTTTAACACAAGTCAATGTGATACACACATTAAAATAAAAGATAAAAATCGTGATTATATCGATAGATGCAGAAAAAGCATTTGACAAATTACAACATCCACTTATGATTAAAACATTCAATAAAATGGGTCTAGAAGGAAAGCATCTCAACACAATAAAAGGCCATATATGACAAATTTTCAGCTAATATACTCTGGTGAAAATGGAAAACTTTTCCTGTAAGATCAGGAACAAGACAAAGATGCCCGTTCTTGCCATTGTTATTCAACATAATACTGGAAGTCTTAGAGCAATTAGATGAAAAAAAGACAAGGCATCCAAATTGGGGATGAAGAAGTAAAACTCACTATTTGCAGATGACATGCTTCTATGTATAGAAAACCATAAAGACTCCACCAAAAAAACTTAAACAAATATAGTAAAGTTGCAGAAAACAATTGTAACAAAAAGGATAAAATACCTAGGAATAAACTTCAACAAATGATGTTAAGGAACCTATACACTGAAAACTACAAGACATTGTTTAAAGAAATTGAAGACATAAAGAAATAGAAAGATATTCCATGTTCATGGATTGGAAGAATCAACATGGTTAAAATGCCCATATTACCTAAAGCAATATACAGATTTAATGTAATTCCTATCAAAATCCTAATGGCATTTTTCACAGAAACAGAACAACAACAAAAAATCCTCAAATTTGTATGAAACGACAAAAGGTCCTGAATAGCCAAAGCAATCTGGAGAAAAAACAACAACCCAGAGGCACCACACTCCCTGACTTCAAACTAGACTACAGAGCTACAGTAATCAAAACAGTATGGTATTGGCAGAAAAACACACAGACTAATACAACAGAATTGAGAGCCCAGAAATAAACCCACACATATATAGGCAACTAATTCTCAAGAAAGAAGCCAAAAACACAATGGAGAAAGGAAAGACTCTTCAATAAATGGTGTTGGGAAAACTGGAAAACCACATGTAAAAGAATGAAACTAGACTGCTCACACCACACACAAATATTAACTCCAAATGGATGAAAGACTTGAATATGAGACCTGAACCTATAAAATACATAGAAGAAAACATGGGCACTAAACTTTTTTACCTTGGTCTTAGAGAGGTTTTTGTGAACTTGACCCCAAAGGCGAAGTAAAAGCAAAAATGAATGTGAGCCATCAAAACAAAAGGCTGCTACACGGCAAGAGACTATCAACAAAACAAAAAGGCAACTAACTGAATGGGAGAAGATATTTGCAAATGATACCTCTGATAAGAGACCAATATCCAAACTATATAAAGAACTCATACAACTCAACAAGTAAAAAATAAATAATCCAATTAAAAAATGGGCAGAGGACCTGAATAGAAAAATTTCCAAGGATGACATACAGATGGACAAAAGATATTTGAAAAGCTGCTCAACATCATTAGTTATAAGGAAAATGCAAATCAAAACCTCGATGAGATACCAGCTCACGCCTGTTAGAATGGGTAGTATCAATAAGAAATAAGGGTTGGTGAGGATGTGGAGAAGAGGGAATCCTTGCATTCTGCTGGTAGGGATGTAAATTGGTGCAGCCACTATGGAAAACAGTATGGAGGTTCCTCAAAAAATGAAGACTAGAGCTACCATAGGACCCAGCAACCTTTCTTCTAAGTATCTACCAGAAAAATTTGAAAACATCTATTCATACAGATACCAGGGGTGCCAAAAAAATGTATACACATGACTTGTATTTATCTTTTATCAGTATATATTATTACAATTTTAATACAGTTTTTTCCTTTCTTAAAATGTGTATGAGGTTGGACAATTAAGTTCACGAACTCACCCTAGAAAAAGGGCTACACATCTCATTGCTGAATATCACTACAGTCACCTTCGAAGTACTCCCCTTGGGAAGCTATGCACTGACGCCAGTGCCTAGTTCACCCTTCAAAGCAATTTTGGAATTCTTTCTGGAATGGCCATCAGAGCTGTCATCATATTACCGTTGATGTCCTGAATGTCATCAAAATGTCTTCCTTTCAACAGTCTCCTTTATCTTTGGGTAAAGAAAGAAGTCATTGGGGGCCAGATCAGGTGAGTAGGGAGGATGTTCCAATACAGTTATTTGTTTACTGGCTAAAAACTCTCTCACAGACTGTGCCATGTGACCTGGTGTTTTGTCATCATGCAAGAGCCATGAATTGCTGGCAAAAAGTTCAGGTCATCTAACTTTTTCACACAGCCTTTTCAGGACTTCCAAATAGTCAACTTGGTTAGCTGTCCAGTTGGTACAAATTCATAGTGAATAATCCCTCTGATATCAAAAAAGGCTAGCAACATTGTTGCAACAAGTTCTGGAGCTTAACTGTCAGATCTTTGTATACATTTTTTTTTTGGTACCCTCTGTATATGTACCTCTATGTTCACTGTAACATCATTTACAATAGCCAAGACATGTAAACAACCTAAGTGTCCTTCAACAGACTGGATAAAGAAGATGTGGTACTTATATACAATGGGATATTACTTTGTCATTAAAAAGGTGAAATATTGCCATTTGCAACAACATGGATGGATCTTGAGAGTATCATGCTAAATGAAATAAGTCTGATGTTAAAGGACAAGAACTGTACGATTTCACGCATGTTTGATATGAAACAAAAAGCAACAAACAAAACAAAAAACAAGCACATAGATACAAACAACAGAATGGTGATTACCAGAGAGGAAGGGGGCGGGGGAAGGACAAAGGGTAAAGGGGGTCAAATATATGGTGACAGAAGGAGACTAGACTTTGGGTGGTGAGCATACAATAGAGTACACAGATGTTGTATTATCAAGTTATATACGTAAAATATATATAATGTTATAAACGACGTAATGTTACTCCAATAAATTTAAAAAGTGTAAATAACACAAATCATGAACAGATAGATAAAGGTGGTGGCATAATCTCCCCCCCCCCCGAACCCACCCCCCAAAAAAAGCACCGAGGAGACCGCTACTCTCTGTCTTACCCGGAGAGGCCTTGGTCTTGACCACCAGCAGTGCTGCGTCCTTGGAGGTGACACTGAGCTCCGTGGATGGGCGAGTGCACTTGGTGATGGCGTACTGCGTCCTGTCCAACTTGCTCCTGAGCAGGTAGAAGCCTTTGAGCCAGGCCAAACACTGCTCCTCCACGGCCCCCAGTGGCAGCAGCAGGGCCACCAGGGACCCCAGCACCATGCTCAGCAGCATCACCCACAGGAAGCGACCCCAGACTGAGACCCATTTTGGTTCAGTCACTGCCATCACTGAAGCCATCGGCATGAGTGTCATCTGGACTCAGGGGTGGGCCCCTTGCACATATCCAGTCGTCGGAAAGAGAGCTGGATCTGCAAGGAACCAAGAGTTGTAGGCGGTGAGGCAGGGGAACTGGTACGCAGAGGATGTGTTTCTGACTCCAGCTAGAGCCTGGAGACCCTCACGCCTATTAACTCACTATGACCAGGTGGTGGGGGCAAGCAAGGAGTGAATACAAATGGGGAGGGGTCAGCCTGGAAGAACGTGCCACCTTCTTCCAGGGTGGTGTAACTCTGAAAGGTAATGCCACTGCTGCCCAACATTTATTAAGTACTTACTGTGTGCCAGGCCATGTGCTATGTCCTAAGGGACCTTCGCATCCTATCTCCTGCAGTCTTCAGGAGCTGGCGCTATCCTCACCCCACTCTCCAGATGAAGATACAAGCTCAGAGAGGTGAAGTCCCTTGGCTGAAGTCACCCAGTGAACAGGTGACAGCCTTAGAACTTCAATTCAGGGCCCCATAGCTCTAAAATATCCCCCCTTTCACCACAAAGTCTGTGGCTTATGACTCAAAACACTGGGTGTCTGGGACACAAATAACATACACACATACCCACCTGGCTAAGGCAGTTCAGAGGCCCATCCTTTAACAAACACAACTGTTGGGTGGCCTGATTTATTGCCACATGGGTGGCCACCTCTTTATGCCCTCACCCTTGTATTAGCCACAATGCTGCCTAGAGTTTGGGCAGTCGGAGCATCTCAGAAATCAGGGTGTGGGCCAGAGTGGGTGACCCCCTGTCCTCTGTGACAGCAGGCATGTGCTTGGGGCTGGCAATGGAGGGGTCAGGTATGCAAGCACCATTATGCTAACAACAAGCATTTACTGGGCAACTGTGGTGTGCTAGGCATTGAGCTGAGTGCTAGCCATGCGTTCTCTCCATTCTCACTAACCTAAGGAGCTACCCCAGCTCCATTTAGAGGGAAACAAGGCACAGATAGGGTAAGTCAGTTCCCAGAAGGCCCACAGGGCGCTGTCGGAGGCATCAGGCATCCCCAGTCCGTCAGAGTTCAGAGTGCCTCTACCTTATTCCTAACCAGGGCCTGTGCAGCTGCTCAGGGCTGCAGCTGGTGCTCCGCCTCCAGGACCGAAAAGTGGTTGATGAGGTTGCTGACCGCTCAAGGCTGAGAGTCTAATGGGGTAGCCTGACTCGTTGGCAGGAATGGCTTGGTACACTCTCTAATGGGGGTACGGAAGGTGTGGGTCACCGTTTCGTCCAGGTGATCTGGACGCGCTCCCCGAGGGACAGACCGCGGAGGGGCTGGATTTGGCTGTGCGCGGCGAGAAAGAAGTGCATTTCTGTAGGAACGAATCTCTCACCCCTCTACTCTAGGAAGGGGGAAACTGAGGCCCAGAGAGGCTAGGGGACTGGATAAGGTCACTCTGGGGAGCCGCCCCTTTCCGACCCCGCCCAGGGCTCGCCGCCCTGCCGCACCCTCCCCGGCTCGCTCCTTCCGAGCCCCTCGGGTTCGCCCCCTCCTCACCGCGCGCCGCTGCCAGGGCCAGAAGCCGCCTTCCCGACATTCGCAGGCTCCGCGGGGCCGGCTCCCAGGACCTCCTCCACCACCGCCTTCTGGCCCCGCCCTGGGCGACTCGCCATTGGTCGGGCCGCCGTCCTCGTCTTGGCGGATTGACTTCCCTCACTGGTCCGCCTCTCGCACTTCCGGGTTCTCGCGTCCGCGTCGGCTTCCCCGGGAAAGGCTAGCCGTGGGCCACTCCCATTGGTTGGCTTCTGCGTTGGTCTCGTGCCCATAGCAGCCAATAAACAACAGGAGGGGCGGAGCCTGGGCGATAGGCGGGAGTAGCGGGTGCAAAAAAACCCCAAGCGGAATGTGGTTTTGGGACGTGCTAGGTGCGAGCACGGAAACCCAGGAATTCGCAGTTCCTCTCGCTTGGAGCTAGAAACTCGCAATTCTGCTCGCTTGGAGCTGCTGCCCTTTCTGCAAGTTTCATCCGGGGGCATCTCTCCTAGCCTCAGTTTCCTTAGGTGTAAAAGAAGGGTGCTGATGGTTTGCACCTCTCTACACTGTTAGTCCGACCTCAGCCTAGTTATCCTCCACCCTATGTTACCAGGGTTGCGTTCTTTCTCCTTTCTCTCGCCTTCTCTCTTTGCCTCCTTGACTTTTTAATGTGGATCCTCCAGAGAAGGGCCTGGCTGCTTTTGGCTGCCCAGAGCGATAGAGGATTGTTTCTTGACTCAAGAGCTGAAGCCTCCATCTTAATTCACAAATATTGAAATTTAACATCGAGGACGTGCCTGGAAATGCTAAGCTTTAAGATGTTATGTCAATTGATGGTCGTTGGCTTCAATTCAATGCCAACAGGAGCCCCCATTTGGGGCTGTGGTGGAGGGAGGCTATTCCGTGAAAGCAGCTCTATGGTGAAACAGCACAGCTGTATATCGGCAGTCTGTGAGGCAGCCTAATAGAGGCAGACCCCGTATGGCAGCTCCACTTCTTTTTGGTGAGCCAACTTCATTCAGTGTTACAGCTCAGCTCCTGCCTGGCTGCAGAAGGCCTGATGTTTTCAGATCTCACCTCTGTGACACACATTCCCCTTGGGAGCCACTCCCAGTCAGTGGTTGTGTGTGTCACCATTGGAGTCACGCAGTCCTGGGTTCAAATCCCAGCTCTGCTACTTGCAAACTGAGTATATTCAGTCATTGACTTAACCTCGCTGATCCCCTGTTTGTGTTTCTGTAAGACGGGGTAATGTGATGACAGTACCTCTTCATAGGGTTTTGTGTGAGGACAAAGCGAGATCCCACACATCTGGCAACAAACACTTGATAGCTATCTGCTGGTGCAACTATCCTAGAAAAGACATCAAGTCATTGCCGTTTTATTTGTTATTTGTTATCTGCAGAAGAAATTGTCAGAGCTCCAACCAGTGGGGAGAGACCCCATTGCCATTTCGTAGGTCTCAGTCAGAGTCCAGTTTAGGAAAGCCGCTGACCCACAGCACAAAAGGAAGTGTCCAGGCCCAGGCCACCAGAGATGTGCTGTCATGAAAGACACCATGGGGGACATTGCGAAGTGAGGGACCAAACAGCTTTGGCCCCTTGCTGGCTGGGCTCCCTGTTTATATCTTGTAACTGGCCCCAACTCTCCCCAACTCCCAGCCCTTGGCATGAGGAATGGCATGTGGTAGGTGCTTGAGAAATTTTGACTTTGAATAAGAAATATCTGAAGACGAAAATAAATAAATAAATAAATAAACAAGTAAACAAATAAATAAATAAATAAAGGAAAAGAAAAAAAAAAGTGAAATATCTGAATCAGGACCAACCATGGAGTTTTGGTTTTTTTTTAAAGATTTTATTGGGGAATTGGGGGGTGGGAACAGTGCTGGGGAATTGGGGGAAGGGCAACAGACAAGTTGCTGTCGTTTTGTTCTTCAGTCTAGTTGTGGAGGACGTTGCTTCACTGGCGCATGTTGGTATTATCATTGTGCTCTTCCCGGCTGAGGCAGATCGGTCTCCGGCCTCTGGATGGCCGCTCACGCTGGCTGCCAGCCACACATGGTAGCTTATGGCAGCCCACTGTAGCAGGGGCTGCAGCCTACGCCGTCGCCGGCGACTCACGGCAGCCCAGCTCCAGGTTGAGCTGTTGTTCACCATCTTAGCTGTAGAGGGCAGTGTCACTGGCCCCATGTGGGATCCGAACTGGGGCCCTGCTGCTCAGAGCTGGCGTCCCAAGCCAGCTCTTAACCAACGCACCATTCAGCCGGCCCAACCATGGAGTTTTTAAGAAACAAAATCAGGATGGTAGTTATTTCTGGGGCTTCTTGTTTCTATCTTTGACCAAAGGTCTTGAACATTGATCTCTCAGAGTCCCCTGAATTTCTCTTCTGATGGCCTAGGCAGTAATGTAAGAACCTTCCCCAGAGGAGGGACTGCTAGGCAACCAGCTAATTATGGGAGATGGTTGGTGGAATGGAACACAGTGAGGCTCTGGGGTCAGACAGGTGTGTGTTCAAATGCAGAGCCCACTACTTACTAGCTGTGTGACCTTGAGCAGGTCACCCTCACTGGGTACCATGGGGCTTGTGGACCTCTGTCCCCTCCCAGGCAGAAGGTGATGGAACCATCTACCTTTAAAGGCACCATCCCATCTCTACTTCTTGGGATTCCAGGGTAAACTCTTTAATGAGTTTAGGCCATGGTAGCAAATCCAGAAGCTACACAAGAACCGTTAGGGAGCGAAACTGCCTGGGCAAGAGACAACAGGGAGAGCTGGGGAGGGTGGCGTGTGTGAGAGCGCCTAGTTTGTCCAAAGCGGGCGGCAGCTTCTCAGCCCTAGCCTTCATTTATTATGTGGAGGTACAGTCCAAAAGTTGATAGTTTCCAATTTTTCAAAAGAAATGTCAGGCCTGGATTTTTAAGCAAAAAATCTCCAGACTTTTAAACAGTTGGCATGTCTTTCAGCCGGCTACAGTTCCCTGCTTAAAGGCTTTTAAAATGGGCAGGAGATGGTGGCTGGGGACACAGGAAGCAAATACCACACATGACTCTCAGCAAATGATTGCACCACTGTCTGTGGACACCAGGGGGCAGTAATTCACCTGGCATCACGTCCTCCATTCAATCCCTATTTGTCAGGAGAGCACACTCAATTTTCTTTCTTGACTTTGTCTGCATTCAGCTGTGTTAAATGCACAAAATATGGTCCCTGAAGTGATATTGAAAAGTTGGCTTTCTCCGTCCTAAGTATTCTGTATCGGTGGAAATTGCCTCCCCATGGCCCACAGAGGAGTTTTCTAAAAGCTTACCTTGACACTTGACAAAGAACCTGGAAAGTGGCTGCATGAGAAATGTGTCCATTATGCAAAACAAAACAAAGCAAAAAACCCTTATGTATCCTTAAGAAACAGCATTCAAGCACTTCTTGCAGGCAGAGTTGGATTTGATAGCTTAGGAAACACAAAACTCCCCAACTTGAGGCAATAGTGCACTGGGATGGCTCCAGACTGACTCAAATTCATTTAAAAGAAAACATGCCATACCAGTTTTCTCTCCCTTCACCCCCAGGTTCTCCTCATTTCCCAGCCTGCTTGGATATATATTTTTTTTCTCCTTCTAACTTAAAGCTGCTACAGAAGAAGAGGTCCCAGGAGCCCTTCCCCCTAACTATCTATTAATCCTTATTATGCACACCCAGTGGGGTCAGTCCCAGCTTCTGAAGCACCCCGAAGAGATAGAGTGTTGGGGGCCCCGTGTGGGTGTCCCTGAGCTGATGGCTCACCTCTAGACTCAGGATGCACATGTCATACAGCGTCGAATTGATTGTCACCCATCTATTAAGATCTCAGACATGCAAACACTTGTAAGTTATTTTCACAGCAAGTCATGTGGAGAAGTGATATTTCTTTCAAAAAATGAAACATAACTGCTTTCTTTTTCTTGTTAAATAACCAACTACTGTATTTCTTAAAAGCAAGATGGGATCATTATAGATATAATAGAAGGCATAAGTAAACAACAAGAAGAAAAAGTGCCCATGCACAACTGTACTAGATATTTTGCTATACACATTTATTTATTTATTATTTAAGATTTTATTGGGGAATTGGGGAAGGGGAACAGCCAAGTTGCCCTTCAATCTTAGTTGTGGAGGGCACAGCTAGCTCAGCTTCAAGCCCAGTCGCCATTCGACCGCCCGTCGCGGCAGCTTGTGGTCACTCAGCTCAAGGTGCCGTGTTCAATCTTAGTTGCAGGTTGGTGTAGCCCATCATCCCATGCGGGAGTCGAACCGGAAACCTTGTTACTAAGAGCGCACGCTCTAACCACTGAACCATCGGGCCAGCCGTCAGCAGCTCAGGGCAGCTCAGCTCGGGTGCAGCTTACCGGCCCATGTGGGAATCGAACCTGCAATCCTGTTACTCAGAGCTCGCGCTCTTAACCAACTGAGCCACTCGGCTGGCCCTCTATTTTTTTTAAGTATGAAATATTTCAGACATCCAGAAGGCATAGCTAACACAATGGGTACCTGTGTGCCTGCCACCCAGTTTAAGAAATACCATATGCCAAATTACCAATGCACCAAAGTCCTAGGGCATCCCCTCCCCCTGTCATATTTCCTTCTCTTCCTCCCAGAGGTAACCACCACTGCCACCTTGAATTTGATGCTTTATATATCCATGCATGGCCTCTTGCTTTTACGCATCCTTATATGTTCCTAAAATGTAGCAATGTTCTGCATATTTTTACACTTCATATATACTCTATGTATCCTGGAGCAGCTTAGCCTGGTAGTTCTGGCTCTAGGTCTCCCTTGAGACTGCTATCATGATGGGTCACGAGGCTGGGGCTGCAGTCATCTGAAGGCCTGGCAGGGCCCATTTCCAAGGTGGCTCACTCACATGGCTGGCAGGTGGGTGCTGGCTGGTGGCTGAGGGCTTCAGTTCTACTCCATGTGGGTTGCTCCGTTGGGCT